CCCCAAAACCCCAAAACCCCAAAACCCCGACCTTAAATATATAGATGTGGTTAGTTATTTTACAAATTTAGATCAAATAGCCTGCTTTATTAATTAAAAGGTCATATTTCTATAATAAAAATAAATAAATATGAGCTTGCAAATGAGTGAGGTGCCGAAGATCGTCAGAACTATAGAGGGAAACATCATCCTAAAGAGAAAGTCCCTTTATGTCAAGAGATATGCAAAGATTGAGAATCACATATTCCTATACAAAAAAGAGAAAGGTAAGGTGTACCTCTGATTCTGGATTATTATTGATGAAGATATGCCTAATAATATGATTAGATATCTAACATATTTTTAGGGGACTCAAAGATTAGGGCCTAGATTGATCTGAGAATAGCAAAGATTAAGAAGAGTTTGAAGATCCAACAAGATGCTAACTACATCTAGATAAGTTTGAACAAAGACAGCATTCTTATAGCTATTGAAAACGTCGATGAATTCCAAAACTGGGTGTCCTGTATCGAGTTCAATTAAAAAAGTGATTAGGAGTAGCAAGAAATTATCAAAAAATAATAATAATTATAAGAGAGCATGCTAAAACCCTCCTAAACAATGCCTGTGCAAAAAGATGGAAATTTATTGGACAGATTGGATACTGATGGCAACAACAGCTAGGCAAGCAAGCAAACTAGATCTAGGCCTCGAGGTCTCAAGAGTAATAACTCAGCCAAGTTCAAGAAAGACTCTTTAACACCATAGGAGCTTTAGCAGGCCAAACAGAGGTATATATTAGATTTACTCAAAATACTCATTTTAGGTTGTAGTAACTTAGTTCTAAGAACTGGATTCTGATGAATGGGAAGGAGGGCAGCTTGGTCTATGCTGATAGAAAGGTTGACTTGTCTTTGAATAAATAGCTAATTCAAGAGTTAAAGACAAGTGAAGTATAAAGAGAAAAGGATTCAATAAACAGCAAAACAAATGTTGTTATTCTGCTACTCATGTTTTCACTTATAATTGGCATCGATTTCTTGGCTGGTCTTAACATATCTCAAATAGCATTGTTATCAGCTAAACTTTTACTTGGATTGTTAACTCTTGGCGTTTTGGGCAAATAGCTAGTTAATAAATCATCTAGGAAAAACTTGAAGCAAAATCTCATTGAGTCATTTGATGTAAAATCAGTTACTTACTTAGTTGCCTCACCTGATGAAATTGCAAACATCTTAACTGATGAGAAAACTAGATAATTTTGGGATCCATGCCTAAAATCAGTTGAAAAACTAGCTGATGATACTTTTAAACTTACATATCAAGGAGGAGAGCTTAACTCCTTTATTATTGAGACAGTAAAGTATAATTTCGTTCTTGATGGAGAAGGCAATTACCTCATTTAGGAGAAAATCAATAGTGATTAGTACAGATACTACGAACTTCAGCAAGTATAGAACAAACCATATTTCATGAGAATAACTTTCTATGGCAGAGTCACACCAGTACTATTTGAATGCAGAGGCAAGGATGTCTATAGAGGGCTTAACTATCTCAGAAATTTCGTATCCCAATCAAACAGACCAAGCACCATGCAGTTAGTATTTCAAAAGAGTGGAGATAATGTAAATGAGATGTTTGCCAGTCTAAGAACTACTGCTTTTAATGATTATATCGAGGAGGAAGATGAAAGTGATGATGAAGAAGTTATATCTGAAAATTAAGAAAGTGAACCTTCATCAGCTACAAATGATAACAAATCAAAATCTTAATTAGAGGAGTCTAAATCTTTAGTCAGAGCTCAAAGTGAAAAGCTGGTTGAGTCTGCAACAGTGATGGTGGCAGATGATGAGATCTATACTCATGAAATTTCCACTGATACTAAAATAGTTGAGATCAAGTCCATTATGGATTGGGATTCAAGACTTCATCTCTACAAGCCAGAGAACATAAGTAAGAAAACACTTTAAATAAATTAGGTCATTAAACATTGATATAGAATATTTGAGAATGGCCCAGGCTAAGTTCAAGGAGTATGAAGATCAAATTCCATCGGCTGAATGGAAAATATTAACTGAAGACAAAAAGGAAGGACTAAAGATTTGGCAAAGAACTTCAGAGTCAGGTCTTAAATGTATGAAAGCTCAAGCCATCATTGAAAGGAAAGCTTCTGATATCATTAAAGTTATTGGTGATACAAAATACAGAAATGACTATGATCCAGTTTATGACCACTCTAACTTCTTGGAAAAGGTAGCTCATCAAACATTCATAGTCTATCAAAAAACGAAGAAGGTGGCTGTAGTATCAAGCAGAGACTTCATATTTGTCCTTCATTTGAATAAGATGCCTGATGGAACAATATATGCTCTTGTATTCTCTATCGATAGAGATGATCTCCACCCACCTGAAAAGAACTCAGTCAGAGGTTGGTTACAGCTTGGCGGTTGGAAATTATAGCCAATGGCAGAGGATCCAAGCAAGACACTGTGCACCTATTAAACTGAGATTGATATGAAGGGTAGCATCCCAGGCTTTGTTATGACCTAAGCTAACAAAGATATAGGCTATCAAATAGTAAAGCTTAGAAAGACAGTAGAGAAGTATCTCAGAGAGAATCCATGATTAAACTTTGATGTTAGCGCATCCATTATATCACTGATATGCTCAAATTATCATGATCTCAATCGTTTATTTGATTCGCTAAAAAATTTTAAATTACCCTTAATATGGTGAAAATGCTATGTATGGGGTTTTGGGGTTTTGGGGTTTTGGG